TGAATTCTGTGGTTCAGGTTGTGCAGATTGTTGTGTTAATCCTCTAATCAATTTTCTAGGTGTGCAGGATGGTTAGTGTTGGTCTGGCTGTATTTCACAGACGCGAGACACACAAAAGACTTCCATGCTGTTCCGCCATCTTGGCTCCTCCTGGAATCTTGTGTAACATTTGTAAGGTTTTCACTGTGTAATCCATGTCTTAGGGAGAGTTATCAAACTTGCCATTTTATATGCATCATTGTCGGGGAAGCCTGTCTACCAACCCACTTCCATCCCTCTTTTTCACACATACATACACGTATGCACACATGCACGCTGTAGGCATTTGAAATTTCTTATCATACATTAGAGTCGTCTGAGTTTCCTGGTACTATATAATTTTCAATGCTTTTGTAAAAGTCAACTTTTTAAAAAATGTTTACTTATTTATTTTTTGAGAGAGAGAGAGCGCGAGCAAGCGTGAGTGGTGAGGAGGGACAGAAAGAGAGGAGAGAGAGAATCCCAAGCAAGCTCCATGCTGAAAGTGCAGAGCCCAATGTGGGGTTTCATCCCACAAACAGTGAGATCATGACCTGAGCTGAAATCAAGTTAGATGCTTAACTGACTGAACCACCCAGCTGCCCCAAAGTCCACTGTTAAATTTTACTTTCATTTATTTTTTTTCACTACCACTAACATAAAATCCAGAACACAATGAATATTTGTATATAGTAACATATAAATGTATGCATACATTGCATTAAAATCATTTGTTCTGTGTAATGGCAGAAATGCCACATTTTAAAAATAGACAGGAAAAGTCTGTCATCTGTAGAACAATCATAGGAAACAAAAAATCTCAGCAATGATGCTAAACGTTACTCTTTTGAAAAAATCGTTTCTGATTTTAGACAATCTTACCTTTTAGTTTTCAGGAAAAAAATGTAGAAGATGTCATGTATTCTGAAGTTCTTTAAAGGATGCATGTTCACATTTCTGAGTTTGCATTAGTTGAAAACTTCAGAAAGGTCAGAAGCTTAAAGCATCCAGAGAGGCAGAGTTCAGGTGAGAGTGAGCACATATTGTAATTTCATCCGTTACATGAATCTGGGAAGATCTACATGCAGGTGGAGAGCCCTGCCTTTATAGGTTCCCCATGTGTAGATCTGATTTTAGGGTTGCCTAATACCCTCGCGGACTGTGGTTGACTTGGTTTATGTACAAGTATTAGTTAACAGGCTGGGTTCCTGCTGGTCCTAGGTCTGTATCTAGAAGCAGAGATTCACACAGTGCCTTGTAGTGCAGGAGTTGTTGAGAGGTTTAGAGCATCCACTCACTTGAAGAATGTTCTGATACCACTGTTGATCTGAGCAAGTTTGTATACAAATGGGAGTTTAAACTTTGCTGGAAGGCAGAATGACCTGGTGGAAAATGCATGGACATTGGAATCAGATTTGGGTTTACATTCTGGCTTTTCCATCTATAGCCTTTGCGACTGTTAGCTTATTTCTATGAGCCTCAGTTTCTTCATTTGTAAAATGCAGCGCAGTTATAAGGAATAAAGGGAATAGCATATCCAAAAGTGCCTGGTACTCAGAAAGGAATAAATGAATGTTATTCTTTTTTCCCTCTCCACCACTAGGGTACAGGAGTGGGTGAGTAGCATCCACTGTAACTGGTTTAGTTCTCTTCCCTGGTTTGATTAGATAAAACCTGGCTAACCCCGTTTTCAGACAAAGATCTTGAAAGTCATCTGTTATATCTCCAGTTAGCAAACAAGTGCCTAGAGAAATTCCAAGCTTGGAGAGGGGATGAGAGAGAAAGAGGGTAAGAGAGAAAGAAGGAGAGAAAGGGAGAGTGTTCTCTGAAATTTGTTATTAGTTCCATGCTTTTCTGTATTGATACCCAGTGACATACAGCTGGCACAATGAGATTGTACCTTATTAATTTATTTTTAAAGATTCCCTAACTCTATGTGTACTTTTTCTTTCATCCCATCTTACATGAAACCCAATTAGAGATTTTAAGAAGGTGAGGTATAATCAATACTTTTATTCACAGGTGATTTTTCTTGAGAAGGATTTACAGTCATGCTGCTTTGAAATTTTTTTTCAGCTTAAACAAGAAAGTGACATTCAAACTGAATTAGATTGTCCCATGGTTACATGATCTATTGACTGAGTGAGGAGTTATGACGCACTTTAATTGAGCCTAAGACCTCTCATATTCTTTTATAATGCCCTTAGGTTGGATTATACAGAGTAAAAGATAGGTGTTTATTTTTAAAATTGACTTAAAGTATTATTGAAACAATGAGAAATCCAAAGACTCAGGGAATTCTAAAAATATCTGCCTCTTTTTTTCTTGTCACTGTGCTCTTTGAACCTGTAGCTCATAGTAGTAGTCTGGGCTAGAAGCCCTCCCCTCAAGTACCACATTCATTATGATAATGTAGTTCATCTTTTACCTTCTTTTTCTCCAATTTTCTAGAGCATACTAAAACTCTTAAGTAATTTTTCAATTAACATAGACCATAATAGCAAGATTTTAGATAAATAGCATACAATAAAAATATTAAGATATAATATGATTTTTTAAAACCACAAAGTAAAATTCGTCAGCAGTTAGGTATTAAAATATTTGGAAAAGATTTTCGGAACTAGTTTAGGTTTTGGTTGTGAAGTTATTCTCTTTAAAAACAATTTTGTAATTGCCTTCCTTTTTTCTTTTTTTTTCTTTTCAATTTCAGGGCCAACCTGGTCCTCAGGTAAGTGAATTCTTTCCTAATAAGTTAATTTCAATTTAGGATTTCCTCAGTGTGGAGATTTTTCTGCAATTCGTTTCAAAGGCTATTAAAAAAAGCTATGAACCAGTAATCATGACACCACGCAGTAGACCAAATATTTCCCAGGAGTAAAGCTCTGGGGCCTCTCCAGGGTTGTGTGAGCCACATCAGCTGTTGGACCAGATGGCAAGTTTAACAATGTACTATCATACAAAGCAAAACTCTTAACTGATCTGAAACAGTGCCACAGGACTTTAATGTAAGATAAAATGACTTAGTAAATGTCGGGTATGAACTGGTTTGCGTTAGGTACTGATTAATCATGTACTAATAATGTTGCTGTAAATCCACACAGACTCTGATTATTTAGACTGTGATCATAGCAGCTACTTTTGATTCATTACACACAGATATTGAATTCGATCTACATTTTCAATACAAACCAACGGCTGAAGACATGATTTATATTTAAATGTGCATGCAGTCAACAGAAAATCTTTTGAGCTATAAATCATATTGGAGAAAATGAGGAAATTTTAGGAAGGGGAGGAATGTGTAGGGAGATAAAAGTACAAAAGACGGAAATTGTCAGAAATGAAGAATCAGTAAAAAAACAATAAACTTGATATTAATACTGATTGTGGTGTGCGGGAAGCTATCGAGAAGGGAATGCCATTATTAATGTTTTACCTTTAACACCATAATACCCATATATAACATAGCTATTTATTGAGTTCCTCTTACGACTCTTTCCCTTTGATATACCAAATGCTATTTCTGCCTTAGATTGTTTTGTACACAAACAATTTTCCTGACAGCTCTGTTATTCAATATCCAAATTGTGTATTGTGGGCTAGTTGTCATAATAGACCATGAGAATATTATTTATAGTTTTTATGAGCTCCGTGTATAAGGAATGTCTAACAAAGCAAAGAAAAAACCCCACGTACTTTAGTAGAGCAGTCCATTCTGTAATATCTTCATGAGAAAAACTTTGCCATGTAGTTAATTTATGTTCCTATCAGAGAATACTCTCATTATTTGTGATTTTCACTCTTATTTTCTAAGTTAGTTCAATTATTGGAGGGAAAAAAAACCCATGAAAGAAAGTTGTAGCTTATGTCCTAAATTTGAAACTACTACATTATAATGGGATGAAGACAAAGTAAAAGGTACTTTGCATGCTTTATTTTATTTAATGCTACAACATCCCTGGAAAGTACTATTTTACTTGTGTGTGTGTGTGTGTTATATGCACACACATACGTGCATACATATATATGTATATATACACATATATACACACACTCACACAGAATCAGAAGAGATACATGACTCACCTGGAGTGACACCATAAAACTGGGGGCAGAAGTCAAGTGTGTCTGTAAAAACCTTATACCCCTGTAGCACTCAGCTCTCAAGAGAAGACTAAAAGGCAAGCTAACAGAATAAAATAAGTTGGAGTGCTGGTTATTATAATCTTTAACACATTTTAAGTATTAACAGGACCTCTTTCTTAGCCAGGATCACTTCTACCTAACCTAAAGCTGTCTTTTAGATAAGGATTTGGGTATAAGTAATTTATGTAGGAGACAATCCCAGGAAGCATTGTGAATGAGTGGGGGAAATGACACAGGAGTGGCAAGACGACCAGAAAACAGATGTATTGCTGAAGATGCTGTGGGAGACTGTAGAGCTTGCCTCAGAATTGCCCACTGAAAGGTCAGGAAATTGATGGATTTATCCACTAATTTCCTTTCCTTCACTGTTGAGAATCATGGCTGAGTGTTAACTCCCTGGCTCTTCTGGCCTGTCTCAGAAGGTCCAGCATGCTCCAGCTGCTAGAGGAATGCAGGAAGCCGTAGGGACATGTGAGTCCTGTATCCTTACACTGCCTTTGAGAAAGGCAGTGGTGAAGGTTGGCACCAACATCTGCTACAACAGAGTTGCTACAAGTGAAGGAGTCCTATAGACAAAACAAAAAGGGGAAAATTCAGACACAGGCATGAGGACTTGGATAATTGGACAAAAAGACAGCATTGAAAGCATATTAGTTCATGTTAAAGAAAATGGCTATCAGAAGAAGAACATGATCATAATAAATCTTTAGTGTGCAGCCACAGTTAATGAACAGAAGAAAGATGGTAAACCAGCACAGGAAGCCAAGAATGGTGAGAACATCATGTATCACTGTAACCAAGATTTTTTGAGAGAGAGAAAGGGAGAGAGAGTGTGTGAGTGGGGGAGAGGGGCAGAGGGAGCGAGAGAGAATCTTAAGCAGACTCTAAGCTGAGCCTGGAGCCTGACATGGGTGGGGCTTGATCCCACCACCTTGAGATTGTTACCTGCTTGAAATCAAGTTGGATGCTTAACTGACTGAGCCACTCAGGTACCGTCAAGATTTGAAAATATATCACAGCACTTAAAAAAGTAAGGTCTATCTAACTGCCTGTACTTGAAAATTCTGGAAACTTTCAAGGAAGATAGAATTGGCATTTTTTTAATGTTTTTTTTTTTTTTTTTTTTTTTTAAAGAGAGAGAGAGTGCGAGTGGGGAAGGGGCAGAGAGAAAGGGAGACACAGAATCTGAAGCAGGCTCCAGACCCTGAGTTGTCAGCACAGAGCTCCACATGGGGCTAGAACTCACAGACTTTGAGATCATGACCTGAGCTGAAGTCGGACACTCAAATCGACTGAGCCACCCAGGTGCCCTGGCATTTTTAAATGGTGACCTGTTCTGGTTTTCTTTCATCTTGACTATCAGTTTTCCTTCAGTGGACGCTCAAATCACATGATCATTTTGTTCAAAATGTCTCCCTCTTGTCACAGCAAAAGGAAAGCCACAGATTTAGGAAGAATAGGTATGAGGGGAAATGCAAAGCCAGGAAATAGCTCACATTGTCTTTCCATGGCACAAAAAATAGGCAAAGAGTTTTGTTGCTATGTCCCCAAGGACAAGTTTGACTTACCTCTTAACTCTACTCCTTATCATAACAATTTTCAAAAGAAATTTCCAATTTTAGATTTTAAATTAAATAACTCTTAATGAAGTTTTTCATTTAGTGCTTAATGATTATTTAATTTGCTCTGAGATTTTTATAAATTATAGGTGTATTTTTATACACTGGCTCCTTTCCATCTGTATTTTTATTTTCCCTATTACTTATTGTAATGTATTACTTTCCCAGCCTCTAATCTACTCTTGGGAAATTTCTTCTGCAAAAAGTAGAAATTAAATAGACTTTTACGTCCAAGAACAAATTTTATCTATCTAAAAATATGAACACTTAAAAATGATGTAGTAAATGGGATTATCAATATGTGCAGTACAGTTACAGTATTTTATACAGTTATATCTTACATTACCATCTTACCATGATTTCACTTTTTCCTTGAGTAAATTTATATAAACTATGCACTAAATCTGTTTAATACATATCTATAATGTACATACAGTGAGTAAGCAAGCAATGTACATTTAAAATCTAAATTAGGAAATTTTTAAATGGGTTTTTAAGTGGTTGAAAGGTTTCTTTAATTGATCAGATTTCTCTTGAAATGTTCCTGTTCTGTTTTTTTGGCTCACTAAAAACAATATTCACATATGGTATATACAATGTGTACAGGAGCTTATAATTTGGGGTATGGGGCGCCTGGGTGGTTCAGTCAGATAAGTGCCTGACTTCGGCTCAGGTCATAATCTCATGGTTCATGAGTTCGAGCCCCGCATTGGGCCCTCTGCCACCAACACAGGGCCTACTTCTGATCCTTTGTCTGCCTCTCTCTCTGCCCCTCCCCCACTCTTCATCTCAAAAATAAATAAACATTAAAACAGTAATTTGGAATATGTCTTCTCTTTTCTTCCCTTCATCTTTTGTGACTTAAAATGATAATCATTTTTTCTTGAAATATCTACTTAATTTCCCTTATTTTTTAAGATGGATGAGCTAAAATTCTCCATAACTTATTTTTTATATCTATGTTTCAATACAACTAATGTGCCTACATTCTTTCCTTGCTAATTCTGCTCCTCCCTTATCTCTGTGGCTTCTTCTTAGCACATATTGTTAACTGTGGGTAAAGGGAACAGCATAAACATCGCAAAACTTTTTCTTTACTTTCTCTCCCCATCTCCTTTTGCAACTAGTTAAGGAGAAGAAAGTTTGCTACCTAAACAAGATACCTCCAAGCAAATTCCCTTAACTAGTCCTCAAATCCAATGGGTTTCTGACCCATTCTGAGTCATAACTGTGTCACCCAGGGGATGACTCTTAGCTGGGCTACCTACTCCACTGAAAATTCATACCCCCTTCTGACTGGATAGCATTGTGAGAGGTACATTTCTAAAATCCCAAATCCCAATTTACAGTGGATTTTCCATTAACACATTATTACTAATCCTATTTCTATTGTACAATAAGAATTTGTGTGTGTGTGTGTGTGTGTGTGTGCGCGCGCGCATTAGCAATAGGCTTTTGGGAATTGAGCTGAGATAATAAACCATATTTTATTAGGATTCCTGTGGGAAGATACAATCAGATTTCCAAATAACCAACTTCCAAAAAAAGAGCTGCCAATGTTTGAGTTGAGAGATTGCACATCCTTTAAAGTTCACCAAAGTATTTGGACAGAATTATAATTGGTAACTTGTTATTCATGTGCAAATGTTTATGTCAGTAGAGTGTTCTGCATAGGTTGAACATTCCCACGTCATCTTATTCACAGTATATTTCACTGCAAATCTCTTCCTTAGAGAGTGAGAGGCTCCATTCTGCTTCTTTGGTATCACTCATTGTTTAGTAAGGACTTCCAGATTAATGAGGTTTTATTTTGTAGACCGGTGGTAAAAAGGGAAAATGTCTATTCTTCAGGGAGTTCTTCTGATCATCTTCCTAAAGCTGAAGATGGCTTACATGGATTTAGCTTATGTTGTCAAAAAATTGCAAACACTAGACAGCTAAACGGCAGTGAACCCTGTCGCAG